GTCCATCATCCACTTTAAGTGCACGATGGTAAAATTTTCAATTTTGAATATCAAATCTTCAAAGTTCCAATATCCAATCCATGCTGCTACTATATGCTAGATAACACGTATTCTCTACATATCTGTTTAACGACTAGCCTTAATCGAAGGTTCTCTCTCGTGATCGGGAGGGGTAATTAACTATAGAGGCTTGCGCCTATAGGAAACTAGAACTCATATCATAAAGTCCTCGCAAAATGAGGGCAAAATTTCTGGGTAGTGTCTTATTTACAAACTCATCTGCCTTCCAAAATTTACCCCGAAACTTAATTCCGTTAAAACTCCCCCGAATGAAAAAGCAAAAAGCGGGCAGAGGCCGAGGCCTAATTTTCGGAGCCCGCAACAATAAAATAACAACTCATTTCCTAATGAAAAATAAGAGAGGACACATAGAGGCTATAAGTATGTAGCTATTTTTTTAATTTCATTCACACTTGCATTTCGTACTCCTACAATGAAATGAAAACTCATTTCCTAATGGAAAATAAGAGAGGACACATAATCAATAACTTCTGACTCCAAAGGGATGCACATTTTATTAATGATGAGGATGATAAGGCATACACAAGATATCAAGATGCATCAATGACTGACTCAAACGTTTTAAAAAAAAAAATAATAAGATATCAGGTACTGGACCTATTCTTAGGCACTACTCTACGTGTTATTATCTTCTTATTAGCATTTTTTTATCACATTTAACTCCTCTTAGAGATTTTTTATTAACCTTAGAATCATGAGTGATAGGACATCCATGCAATCTTTTGTCTATCAGCATCAAGTTGTCTGCATATGTCCAACACCGATGTCAAACCACATTACATCGAGAATAATTTACACTATAATTAGACAAATGTGACTAACACTTGTTAATTAGCCCACTTAACAACCACCAGCCTATGGTCAGCACTATGGTATTAAATGCACGTATCATCTAACACATATTTTGACATAGAATTATTCCTAAAAATGGTGATAGGATAAATATCACTCCTCATCTGTCCATAGTCAGCTATTTTTGTTAAGCACTAATATAAATACTTTACTAAAAATAGATGGAAAATAACTGAGAGTCAAAAGGAGAGTTTCGCTAGAGAGAGAGCATAGATTCTTCGAAAAGGTTTTTGAGAGTTTCATGCAATAGTTTGAGGGGGAGAGTGAGAGAGATTGGAGAGAACATGAGGGATTTGGTGAAAGAGTGTCCAAGAGATCTTTGTGTGAGAGAGAAGTGCACAAGGTTGTTAATCTTCATTTATATACTTGTTCCTCAAGTTGTTGTATGTGAGAGCTCTTTAGTAAAAGAGCTTTGGAGATTCTTGGTGTGGGAGACTCTTTTAAATAAATAAGAGGCTAGAGGTGTAGGCATCCCCATCATGCTAGGTGTAGAAGGAGGGTGGCTTCTTGGGAGAGAAGCGGTGTAAATGATGTCTTTGTTTTCCTAAGAAGGAGATGGGCTTCTCCTCCTTGCTGGGAATCGGAGTGTGTTAGTGGAATTCTTAGGGCGAAGACTTGAGGAGTAGACATAAGTTAGGTTGACCAAACCACTATAAAAATCCAGTTACATTTTTCTTTTCTGGTTTTATTTCTTTACTTTTGTTTATTACAATTTTTTTACTTATTTAATTCTAGTTGCATTATTTTGGTTATTTGAGAAAGAAAAAAATAAATTTATTTTTGAAAATTGTTGATTTGTTGTTTTTCTATAAAAATAAAAAAGAAAAAGAAAAAAATATATTTCTTTTATTTTAAATGTGATAAAAATATTTTTGAAAATGAAAGGAATCAATTTTTTGTTTTGGTGCTCTAAAAATTCTAAAGTCTTCAACTGGTATAAAATTAATAAAAATTTTAAAAGACACCATTTCACCCCCGCTTCCCCTCTAGTGTGCCATGAAAACTTTCATTGGAGAGGTGGTTGGTGGAGTGTCATACAAAGAGACTTCTCTATTAGGTGGTCGTAAAAAATAATGCAGGTTAGAGGTAATAGTTGGGAGCCATAGGCCATCATAAGAGAAAATTTGTAACTATCGTATGGGCTGGTAACTAGCAAGATGGTATAACATGGGAGTCAATAAACTTTCCTTTATTTCTAATAAGCATAGTATGTTGAGTAATCTTGCTCAAGTTTGGAGAGGACGAAAAAAAAAGGGGAAAAATATAAGTGTAACAAAAATTAGAGTAATATTTATATTATGTATTAGTCTTTGGACTAGTGAACATTTGTCTCGTTATGCAGATTTATACAAAAGTGAAACTCTAAGAAAAAGATGATATTAACCTAACCAAAAATAAATAAATCTAAAGTTATAGCAGCATTTTGATAATCCATATTAAGTCAATAATGAACAAAATCAGAAAGCAACTTAGTTTTAATATAAGTGGATATTTGAAACTATTAAGCACATTTAAAAATATAAGACCAAATTGGAAAGGAAGGATCAATTAGTGGCCATATGAATAATTTTCAGTTACTTTATTAGAACCAACTTATATAATTTACAGTAACATTTAACAGATAAGTATTGTTGCATAAAGAATACTTATATGACGATCTTAAGCTTAGATAACATCTATATTATGTAATTCAATACAAAAATGGCTAGCTTAAGTGTTATTTGCTGATGAGTGAGGATGATAATAAAATTGTCAAACATAGATTAAAAATCAATTATGTGGGCTTGGGAAACAAATGTTTTTTGGAGCATGTGATTCATATCTTTCATCAAAAATAATCTTTTAGATTGTGCAACTAGCTCTCTGATTGCTAGAGCCTAACATATAATCCCATTGGCCTATACATCCACCACTAAAAATCAAAGGTCTTCCCCTATGAGCTCAACTCCCTCCACCTCAACATATCCCAAAGTTAGTCCTACGCTCCTTGATGTAGTCAAGAATTTACGTTTTATATATTTTTATTTTTTCATGATATTGGATGCTATGTATTTTATTTTTGTATTGCCCTATGATGAAAAACAACCAATGATCATGCTGGTTTTGGTGCTCTCGGGTTAGTTCATTCCATTGAGTTTGATCTTACTTCCCCTCTCTCTCTCATTGGTTGTTTGGTTTTCCCCTTTGCTGATTTGATTGTTTGGGATTCTTCCGCTCTTCCTTTTTACTGTTCGGTTCTTCCCCATTGCTGATTTGGCTGCTTGGGATTCTTCCTCTCTCCCTTTTGGTTGTTTGGTTCTTCTCCATTACTGATTTAGCTGCTTATGATTCATCCCCTCTCCCTATTGGCTGTTCGGTTCTTCCCTTTGCTGATTCTTGTGCTTGATGTGTTGGCTTCTTCTTTGAGAGCTAATTTCATTTGTTTTATTGGCTGAAATGCTGGCTCACTTAGTTGAACAATTAAATGTCAATTTTTCCTCCTCCTATATAAGGTGGCTGAAATTCTATTGATGAGGGCATTTTTTTTAGAAGAAAAATTCAACCTGAGTGTTCTTCATGGCTTGTGACCTAATCTTTCCCCCTATTCCTTAATACTTCATCTATGTCTTCTTTTTACTTCTCTCCACGATTTTGCTTCCACATGTATCTTTCTTCTCTAAACATTGTGAGGTGTGAGGTGGTGTTGTTACTCTGTTCTGTTGGTATTTGCTTGAGAAGTGCATACTTGTGCCAGATCAAATTTCAATGATGGATTATTGGTTAGATCTATCCTTTGAGCACCTTTCTCTAGTTTTGTGAATTGCATGTGAGGTGACCAATCGTGGTTTGTTCTAAGAGTTGCTATTGTTTATGTGTTTTGTATATTTATTTCCTACGTGATTTTTCTAAGAAATTTTTAACGTTTGTTTTTTACCAAGTCTCTCTCGGTTTGTGTCTGTTTATGTGATATTGAAAGTAAGTTTTTCAATTGCGTGCCTAAGTGCTCTCCTAAAAGGTTTAGGAACTTAGGTTGCATCACTCCCAGCCCATTAGAATGCTTCCACCAAAAAGTTCAACCTGTTCAAGCCATAGTAAGCAATGATGAAGCCAAGAGGACTCATGAGGTCATGCTTTGACAACTAGAGAAACCATTGTGCAATCAAAAAAGTATTTTATTGAATGAACATGCAATTCACATGTTCAAAATGAACATGTCATATCTATTAAAAAAAAAGAAAAAAAAATTGTCATATCTAGAATCTTGTCATCATTGAGGACATTTGGACACAATCATGAAATGAAGAAAAATTAAAGTTTCAAGCATTTCCTTTCTTGTTGGAACATAAATAAATCACGGATCAAACTAATATACAACTCATCTGCATTCCATCAATAATTATATATCATAATTATGTATCATAGTACTTGAGATCTGACTCAATCCCTAAATATGTTTTGAAGAAAATAACTTCTCCTACTATTCATTTTTTCTTAGATAGGTTTGATTTGAAAAAAATGCACCAAATGTCATGGCATAATACAACCATTCCAAGGAAAAAATGAGGCATTGGCTTATCTTCTATTTTTACCATTAAGCAATATTGTAAGATGAGAATTGTATTAAGACTCCTCTTCTAATCTTCTTTCTGGCTGGTTTAAGGGTTCTTATGACTCATTTTGGAGAAGGGTGTCCCATTTATGGAAGGAATTAAAACTTGATGCTATATTAATGCTACATTTTGTTTACATGATTTATTTTTTTGGGTTGAGCTATCATAATTAATTGTATGAAATTTCTTAGCGATTAATGTCGACCTTTAAATGGACATGTAATATTTCCCTTTTAATATATTGGGCTTTAGCCCTATTCATTCCCAAGAAAATACTTGTCTTACACAACTATATCTTTTAGCTATTTAAAATATATTTTTAACGTTATGATTTTGCATGAAAAGCTACACATTTTTTTAAATCAACGCTTGAAACAAAATAATGTTTGGTTAAAAAAAAAAACAAAAAACAAAGTTTGTGGAAAATGCTATAAAAGTTTCAAATTACAAAATTTGTTTCATCATAATGCCAAATACCTTATCGGCAGAAATTGATTCATTGCTTGAATGCCGGCCCTTACTTGAGTTGATGTCTGCTGCGTATCCTCCTCTTGCCCCCTCTCGGAGACCAGCACCTTCCCCAATGCCCATCCTCCCAAGAATGCTCGAGCTCCCACAAGCCTCGGACGAACGCTCTTCTTCTTCTTTCGTGCAGTCAAGACTCATCCTCCCCTCCTTCCACAGCTGTCCCACTGATTGCCGCACAGCGTCCGCAGACGAACTCAAGTTCAAATAGCCATCACTACCGTAATGATATTGCCGGGTAAATCCAGTGGCTCCATTATGAATCTCTCTTTGGGAATGAATATTTTGAGGTGAAGAAGAATTCAGGATGCCATAGATTTCTTCCTCGGTGTCCGATGAAACATCCACTGGTATTTTGTGAGATAGAGGTACCGCATTGTCAGGCTGATGCCCGCTCTGATCAAACTTCTCTGGCGGAGGGATTGTAAAGTCTAGTCCATCATTTCGAATATTGTGAACCTGATCAGTGCTCTGAAATGTGTTCAAGTAACGAGGAAACGGAAGTCATCAACCCGGCAACCCTTTTCTAAAGTAACCATGAAAAAAAAAGAGAAGAACAAACCCAATGTACAGGGCTAGAAGCGAGACCGACCTCCTGGATCCATTGAATTGCATGGGGATCCAGCCCTTCGGTAAACATCACGCCCACGGACTTGAACACCGTTCATAAATCTATAGTAGAATCCAGCCCCGAACCTGCAACAAAATTTTTAAAAATCCATCAGCTTGGAGAAAAAAAAATCAAAAAGCAAAACACGAATGAACAATGCATAGTTAATCAATTCGGATCTTCAACTTCAAAAATAATTTAAAATGGGAAAAAATATTCTTTGCGTCCGTAATCATCAAATAAAAACTCCATGAAAATTACATTAAAGGAATCACGGAACTGCGCAAGAGCAGGGTTTTAGGGGACTACTCAACGCAGCCGAGCTTGAACGAGGATTTGTATCGATGCCCTAGTTCGACGTCGGCGTAGCTAATGCAATGTGATATATTTCTCCTTGACCCAGTCGCAAAGATAAGCAAAAAAAGAGGAAGAAGATGCGACAGTAGAGGGGAGAGACGGAACGAGTTACAGCACGCGGGAGCAGAGAGGTCTTGTTTTCTGGGTTCGGTTTTTAGTTATAGACTTGAATTTTAATCTGAACAGATTAAAATTTTAATTATGTTATTTTTAAAAAATTATTATAAGTGCCTAAAAAGACAGGTCCAATAGGGTAGGTGACTTTAGGAGAGGGGTAGGGTCATTCAGTAATGGTAAAGAAGCATCAACCAAAGGTAAAGGCACATCACCCAAGTTAGAATTATTTCCTTCAATCTAAACAGAAAGCAAATTATCATTCTCAACAAGAGGACCATCTTTTCGTTGAGATTGTTTGGACATAGCTTTATCTTTGCAAAGGTGGGGATGTAACCTAAAGCATTCATTAAATCCATGACCATGCATTTTACGGTGAGAGCAAAAAATAGGCAGGTTTTTAAATTCCACTTTTTGAAAGTAACAATTTAGCTCAAAACCTAACCAAACTTCAGCCAGGTGATTCTTAGAAACATCAAGTTCCACAAGAATGCGAGCTACGGAGGGATGAGATATGGAAGCAGTGGCTTAATCAGTTTTTAAAGGTCTTCCAAAAATTGAAGCAAGGCCAAACAAAATTTGTGAATTAAAAAAAAAAATCTTAAGTTAGGGAAAGAAATCCAAACCGGTGCAATAGGCGATTCTTCCCTCACATCAAAGTTTGGCGTCCATTTGAGAAGACACATTTGGCACGCTTGAATATAGTAGGACCTTCGCACGAAGATATGACTATAGTCAAGATCATTCGTCAATTGGATTGCAATATGGCGAGAATCCAACAAACCGACATGAAACGCACCGGACAATTTCAGGCTAACAAAATTTTTTTGGATAACATCTAAATTAGGGTGACGCAAGAGGAATTTACCAACAAGAGTAAGGACAAATTGGGCGGCTAACTGAGATACATTCGAGTCATCGAACAAAAGAGCTGGGCAACCCTTAAAAGAAGAGTGCACAAAGTTAAGATTAGGAGCAGAAGAAGACGATCCAGAAACCACATCCTTGAAGGACCAAGAATGGCCATCAGGTAAGGAAGTTATCGGGGGGATAGATGACGATAGAGTCGTCATCTCTCGAATCAAAAACCGAAAGAAAACTCAAACGAAAATTGTGAAGAAATAGTAATAAAGCCAACAATTATGAACAATAAGCGATAGTCCAAACCAGGATGCTAGAGGATCGAGAAACGCAAGCTTCCGAACTGCAACCCTAAATCGCCCCAGAATCACAAGGGAGAGTAGAGCGCAATGGTCGATTTGATTGCATTCAAAATAATATATGAAATATGGTATAAGTTTTTTTTATGGGCGATTTTTAATTACAGTTTTGTAGTTATTAGGGTTCATTCGATGTTTGCCAATATTCAACAAAATCTGCTAAAAATTTTACAAGAGGTCTTGGGGTCTGTTTGGTTCCAAGTAGGATTTAATAAGTTCCTTAAACTTAAATTTCGTAAATTCTAAGGCGATTAAATTTAAATATTATTTGATATAATAAAGATTAAGTTCTCATGCAATATTTAAATATGATAGTCTAGATAAAAAATTAATAATAATATTGATAATAAAATTAAAATATTTAATTTTATTACATATGATAATAATTAGCTTAAATAATATTCAAATTAATTATTACTTAAAAAATAATATAATAAATTAATACAATACTTTTTTTGCTATTAAATTAAAAATAATATCATTTTTAAGTTAATATTTTTATTATTTTATATTAATTATTAAGGTTCATTTATTTTTAATTGAAATTTTTATATCTAGTTTATTTGATTGACTATTAATAATATTAGTTACTAATTTTGATTAATTTTTTACATAACATACAAATCAACTTAACACTAATTAACAAATAAATAGTATAACAATTAGCATAAAATCAACATGGCATTAAAGAATAAAAATCTTCTAAAATAATTGTTACAAAACAATTATGTAAACATACATTCATTAATTACAAATCAATGACTTTATTGTGGCCTATAAGATTCTTGGTTGTAGAGTGAGAGTTTTATGTCTTAGTTTTATACTTTTATACGAATATTCAACACACAAATAGAAAAATGAAAGATCTTGAATAACACCAAAGATATTTTTACATGAAAATCCTGTAAAGAGAAAACCATAATGTCTTGCTCAGGTAAAAAGATTACACTATGTAGGCGTGAGTCACAAAAAATGGTTCATCTCCTATAACGCTCTAGAATCAAATTTGAAAGAATTATCTATTTTATATTCTTAATTAATTAATCAGAGATTCTATAAATCATCAAAATAATAAATTTATATATCTAGTGAACTAAACTATAATTATATACCTCAAAATATTTTATTATATTAATTATCCCAAAATTAATATACAATAGCCAAAAGATAAATACAATTATTATTCGATCAAAAACTCATGACTACAAAAGAATAAGAAAAAATATAAATAAAATTAAAAGAAAACCTAAGGATCTCTATCAATTTCACTTCAACTGGCCATGATCCCTTCTCTTACCTAAAATTATAAAAATTCTCATAATGAGCATAAAATTTTAATAAGTAACCAAAATTCTATCACTATTTGTAATGCAAGGCAAAAGAATCAATATGTATATTTAGTTCTAATCAATATTAATCATCACTTCATATGAGAAATAAACTAGATCAGTTTCGAAATATCTTCTTTAATATTTTACAAGCTGAACATTGTGTGGATTATAATAAGAATGCTTGTCAGAATGATCCTTCTGATGCTAACTTTTCTTTGCTTAAATAGTCTAAACTATATCTGTTTAATCTTCAAGCTCAAGAAGAGGTTTATTAGAAGCAGAAAGCTGCTGCTAGGCATTTGGTTGAGGGTGATAATAATACCAAGTACTTTCATGCTTTAAGTAAGAGAAAAAGGATTAAGAATAGCATCAATAACATTCGAAGGGAGGATGATTCCTACTCTAATGACCACGGTGAGATTGCTAACTTAGCTGTTCACTACAGGAAAAACGTCAAAAACCGGCGATTTTTGCCGGCGGTTACTATGGCTAAACCGGCAGTTTTCCTGTTTACCGGCGGCTTGGCGGCGGCATTCCAGCCGCCGGTAAAAATGGCGTAGGAAACTATTGCCGACGGTCTTTTACCGGCGGTTTATTTAGGCTGCGGTTTTCCGGCGGCTTGTACCGCCGGTGACAACCGGATTTTTAACCGGCGGTTTTTCGGCCGTTACATCGCTGGTTAGTTGACCGACGGCTAACCGGCGGTCATATTACCGACGGTAGTCCTGATAGATTAAAGATACTTTAATGGGCATGAATAGTGATTCTGTTGCTGGTCCTGATAGATTTACGACTCTCTTTTTTAAAAAATATTGGCACATTATTCATAATGATATTTTCTCTGTTATTTTAGATTTTTTTATGGTAATCCTATCCCTAAGTATTTTACCTCTACCTCTTTAGTGCTTATTCCTAAAAAATACTATGTTCAAACTTGGAATGATTTTCGTCCTATTAGTCTTTGTACTTTTTTCAATAAATTGGTTTACAAAATTATATCTATTCGTCTTTCTGTTATTTTACCTAACATTATTTCTCCTTTTCAAATGGGCTTTGTGAAAGGTAGGGCTATCACGGAGAATATTTTTTTAGCTCATGAATTGACTCAAGATTTGGATGTTAGGGTAAGAGGGGGGAATGTTATTTTGAAACTTGATATCGCTAAAGCCTACGACAATATTAATTGGAATTTTATCTATTTTATGCTTGATCTTTTAGATTTTAACTCTGTGTTTATCAACCTTATAAAAAATTTTATTGAAATGTTTATTTTTCCATAATTCTTAATGGCTATAATCATGGTTTCTTCAAATCCTCTAATGGCTTAAGGCAGGGTGATCCTATTTCCCCTGCTCTTTTTATTATTGCGGCTGAATTTCTTTCTAAGGGTATTTCTAATTTATTTGAGCTTAATCCTGGCCTTTATTATAGAACTTTGAGAGGGTTTCATATTTCCGACTTATGCTTTGCGGATGACTTCACTGTGTTCACTAATGCCACTATCAATAAGATTCATAAACTTATGAAATTTTTTTAACATTTTTTAATTGGCTAGTGGTCTTTCTTTTAGTAGAAATAAATGTTATTTTATTGCTTCTAAAAGGATTTCCAATGAGCAGAGTTTAGCTATTAAAGATACTTCTAGTTTTACGCATTCTAACTTGCCTGTGAAGTATCTTAGTGTACCTCTTTTTAAAGGTAGAAGATAAACTTTTTTGTTTGATGATCTTACTACTTCTGTTCAAAATAAACTTTTATCTTGGGATTCTAACTTTCTTAATTTTGGTGGCAGAGTGACTCTTATCAAAGTGTTCTTTGTGCTTTACCTGTTTATATGTTTCAAACTATTTTTCCTACTCAGGAAATGTGTAATAGGATCCACAAAATTTTTAACAAGTTCTTTTGGAAAGGTACATCTTCTACTTCTAAAATTAATTGGGCTACTTGGGAGAAATGTTGTGGTGTTTTGAATGAAGGTGGTCTTGGCTGCAAGAATTTACATGACCTTGCTAAGGCCTTCTCTTTTAAACTTTGGTATACTTTGTGCTCTAATGAGAATCATTGGGCTACTTTTATGAATTTTAAATATTGTGTTGGTCGCCATCCTACTAATATTTCTCCTAAAAGTATGGACTCCAAAGTTTGGAAAAGGCTTTGCAAGGTTAAATGGGAGGTGAAACCCTTTATTTCTTGGGGTCTCGGGGAAGGTAACATCTTCTTCTGGCAAGATAAATGACTAGGTAATGAATACATTAACTCTATTCTGAATTCTTTGTCTTCGGCCTCTGTTAAAGTATACTATTTCTTTAATGATAATTGTTGGGATCTTGATAAGCTTTCTAGTATCCTTCCTGACTGCCTTACTAATCGTATTTTAAATCTTCCTATTAATGCTTCATCCAAAGACATTATTTTATGTAATTTATCCAATGATTGTGGTTTTTATCTTAAGAAGGCTTGGCATTCCTTTAGAGAGAAAGGCACCATAGATAATATTTTTACTAATACTGGCATAAGAGCATTCTTACCACGGTTTTTGTTTTTGTTTGGAGAGTTTTACATAGATTTATCCCCATGGAGGATAACCTCCTTAAAAAGGGTTTCAAGTTAGCCTCTAAGTGTCAATGTTATTTTCACATGGAGAATATGCATCATGTTTTTATGTCTGGCCCTATGGCCGTTAGAACATTGGTTTATTTTGATGGTTTGTTGCAACTTAACTGCTTTAATGCTCATATCTCTTCTTACTATTTACTTAAGTTTTGGTTTATTAGTACTAAAGGCCACATTCGTAATATTATTTCTTCTCTCATTCTTTGGTTTATTTGGTTGGAGAGGAATAACTCTATTTTTAATGGTGTGAAAATGAACCACCTTAATGTTATTCAAAGGGTGAAGGATAAGATTTTAGCTTTGGTGGCTGTTAATTTGATTACCATTAAGATTTTTAAAAATTGTTATAATGCTAGTATTTTGTTAGGGATAACTTGGGATTGGTTTCCCTCTTCTATTAATATTGTTTATTGGTGTAAACCTCAGTCTAATTTCTTTAAATTGAACATTGCTGTTGTTAATTCTGATGTTGTGGATGGTTGTGGTGGCCTTTTAAGGGATTCTCATGGCTTTTCTTTATGATGTAGTAGTTATGGTTGCCTTTGAGGGCATGATTCAAAAAGGTTATGCTCAAACTACTATTTTGAGGGCTATTCTTTATGGTATATAGTTATGCCTTCCTCTTAATTTAACAAATTTGTATATTGAAGTTAACTATGGGTTGAATATTTCTCGTTTGCAAGATGCGGAGGATGTGGGTTGCTCTCCTAATAACTTTTATCTTGTTAGGAAAATTAAAAGGCTTTTGCTGCATACAAATTTTCATCTTTCCCATGTTAGTAGGGTGGGTAATTTTTGTGCTTCTTGGCTTGCTTCTTGGGGTTGTAACTTAAACTGTTTTAATGATTTTATTCCTACTGCAATCCCAAGGTATCTTAAAGGTCTACTTTATCTGGATAAATGTGGTAC